AATGTGTTTTTTGTTTTTGTTTTTACCTCCATCTCTATCCTTTTAATCTATGCCCTAATGTACCCATTCATACAGCACTCTACTAGATCTATACAAAGACTAATCAGTGCAAAACATTTAGTACAAAAATGCAGTTCCACATGCAGGCAGGCTCAAGAATCAGATGTTCAGATGGCTCAAAAAGGCGTACTCCTGTTTATAAAAACCTCCATGTCAGACCACTGAGCCACATGTGTTAGTTTGACTGAAAACTTCTTCATCTTCTTTATCTGACCTGGAGGGTCCTGTGGACTCGATGGTCTTCCCAAAACTCCAGATTGACCTTTTTAATGGCTGTCAAAAAATCCTTCTGGGCATGTTAATGGGAATTATTATAATTTTGTCTTCTTTTTTTTTTCCTTCTTTTTTTGGGGGGGAAGAACAAAACAAAACAAAATGTGGATTTATTTTTTTAAACTAAAAGCCCTAAAAGAGTTGAAAATTTTAATTCCTTTAAATTATATTTTATTTCAGGCTGAGATAGCTCTAAAGACTGACTGATTTACTGTGGATATAATATTTTAATGGTACTTTTAGGCAGTTATGTAATGTGGTTGATTACACCCCACCCCATCCCCAAGTTAAAGGGTGAATTAAATGAGTAAAATTTCCCCAAAGCAAAATACCTTATAAAAGTATAGCAAAAAAACAAGTGGTTAATTAAATAAAACTAACTTATTGCAGCTGGAATGTGTTTACGTGACATGTTCATGTGGATGGAGGAAATTAAATTACAGATGTGAACTAATATATAAAATGTTATTTAAAAGAAGATTAGGAAGACTCAGTAGATGTTTGGTGGCTCCTCTGAACAGCGCCATGCATCCTGCTTCTTCCTCTTGACCGGAGACAGCTTGTCTATCGCTATGGCCATCGTGTCACTTCCTGTTTCCTCTTTCTTTTCCTGTCAGGGGGCCGAGTGAAAACCTGGAAGAGAAGGTGGTTCATCCTCACAGACAACTGCCTGTATTACTTCGAATACACTACGGTGAGTCCCATCACAGAAAAAGTAAACTTCTAAAGACATAAATATGAGAAGCTCCTTCTTACTTTAAAAACAGAAAGTTGGATTGTTTTAAAATTTTAATCAGCATCACAATCTTAGACGGGAACCATGGCAAGAACAATTCAAGTTAAATCCACTTCCACCATACTTTTGCCAGCCCTTTTGGACTTCTTTGTTGAATATTTGTGTTTGCAAATAACATAAATTTAAGTAAATATTTGTGTAATGTGAAATAAAGGACAGTGTTAAGTTTAGCTAACAGTGTATGCACAAAATGCAATATATATTTTTAGACTTAATTTGTTTTAGAGTTTAGATTTAAACACAATTTCTCCAAACTAATTCAAAGAGCTATCGACAACAGGTAAGATATTAATGGTTTATGACCATTTCACAAAACTCAGTTGCTCAACTGTGTGAAACAAATTTTACTGGAACTGTCACCTAATGAACATTATTTTGGTCTCTATTTTTTAAGCTGTTTTCTAGAATTGCAAACTGGTAACATCTCTCAAGGAAGAAACAATTAATTCCTTTTTGGTCCTGTCATTTTACATATTTCCAAGCTGGATGAGTGTTACAGTCCTGAATTATTTTTTAGAAATTAATTCTTGCTGATTGAATTCGAACATCCTTTGCTCCGTCACTAAATCCTGAACGTCATTCCATCTGTTGTCTGTTAGCAGATTTTACTGTTCTCTGAGACTTTTGAAATGTTGAGGCTGCGTGTCCTTCCTGCAGCATCAGCAGCGTCCTCTCTTTAACCTGGTATTATCCTTCAGGACACTATCATTATGTCCCGTCCTTCAGTCTGACTGCTGCGTGCACACATTATCTGATCTTTTATCTGGAGCATGAGGACAGAGGAGGAGAATACACAAGGTTGATTTCAAAGCCTGCAGACCGTGTCAACATGAATTCTTTCCCCACTCGTTCTTCACTGTTTGATCGGATTATTTGTTTTATTTGAGACAGGATTTGTTTTCTTTCTTCAATGTTTCTCTTCCATCCATCCATCCATCCATTACCTTTACCCGCTTGTTCCATTTTGGGTCACGGGGGTCACCGGTGCCCATGTCCAGCAATCACTGTGCGAGGGGCGGGGTACACCCTGGACAGGTCGCAAGTCCATTACAGGGACACATAGAGACAAACGAGACAAACAACCATTCACTCTCTCATTCACACCTAGGGACAATTTAGAGTTACCAATCAGTCTAACATGCATGTTTTTTGGTCTGTGGGAGGAAACCGGAGCACCCGGAGAAAACCCACGCATGCACGGAGAGAACATGCAAACTCCACCCAGAAGGCCCCTGGACCGGGGTTTGAACCAAGGACCTGTTCGCTGAGAGGCAGCAGCTCTACCAGTTACACCACTGTGCTGCCATGTTTCTCTTCCCATCTTGATGTTTTACTTTTCAAATAAATTCTCATTATTGACTTGTGTTTCGTCCTCCTTTCTTGTTCTCGCCTCTTTTCCTTCCCTGCTGCAGGACAAGGAGCCTCGTGGGATCATCCCACTGGAGAATCTCAGCATCAGGGAGGTGGAGGAGCCCAGGAAGCCTGTGAGTGTTGCCTCATTACAGACCAAAGCTTTCATTTTAATATTTATATTGCTGTTTTTAGAAAACTACTTCTTGACTGAAGTTGATTGTCTGCTGGTTGCCATCTCCTCCAGAACTGTTTCGAGTTGTACAATCCTAATCACAAAGGCCAGGTGATCAAAGCCTGCAAGACAGAGGCGGATGGGCGTGTTGTTGAGGGCAACCATGTTGTTTACAGGATATCAGCACCCACGCCTGAAGAGAAGGAGGAGTGGATTAAATCTATCAAGTAAGAGTCCTCTTACAAACAGTGTCAGACTGCTTGTACTGTGATCCTTTATGGGTTTTACTTTTTCCTACAATTAAATCAACTAAATATCAAATGCTGATTTCATCAGTCTAGGCAAGTGGAATTCCAGGTTTTTCTTCAAGTGGAAAACATTTTTTGTTCGTTTTGAAGCCTCCAACTACAGGGTGAAAAACTCAAGCCAACATTGCTCTGATTTCTCTGTTAAAGGTTCAAAAGCTGCTAAGACATTCAGATATGGCTCAGTTTTGAAATAATGTTTTGAATTGCAGAAATATTGCTGACATGGACGAACAAAAACAGAGCAAGGATCTCATCAAAAAGTTGTAAATGTACAACCAGTGAATACTTTCTGAATGTTTCATTAAAATTGGTCACAGGCTTCATGAGATGTTTTGCTAACAGACAAATAGTGGTAATAGATGCAAGACTGCATTTAAAAGTCCTGCAAAAGATACTCAGTCTATCATCCATCCATTATTGTCCTCTTGTTCCCAAGTTGGGTTGCGGGGGCAGCAGCTTGAGCAGGGAGGCCCAGACATCTCATTCCACAGCCACCTCTTCCAGCTGTTCTGGGAGGATTCCACGGTTTTCCCAGGTGAACCAAGAGACATAGTCTCTCCAATGTGTCCTGGATCTTCCCTGGGGTCTACTCCCAGTCGGACATGCCCCAAGTACCTCCGTAGGGAGGCGCCCAGGGGGCATCCTTACCAGGTGCCTGAACCACCTCAACTGGCTCCTCTCGATGTGGAGACGCAGCAGTTCCTGGGCTCAATTTGTAAACTGATCGATGCCAGAAGGCAAATAGTTGGCGGCCGATTGGGGGGGGGGGGGGGGGGGGGGGGGAAGTGGAGGGAGCTTGTAGGTCCACCTCCCACTTAAATTTTTGAATAAAGCAGATGCTATTTCCTGCATTTTGGTGTAGCCTATTTTAACGCTTTGTTAAACATCTACGTTTACCTACATTTGTAAACACTTGATTAAATTACTATTTTAGAGAGCAACAACAGGTTGTGTGTGAAAAGAGCACTTACGATTCTGTCAAGCTTCCTAACCCCCCCCCCCCCCCCCCCACACACACACACACGTTTCGCCGAACTCTTCTCCGCTGATTTCATTCCTGCGCGTTGTTGCTCCTGCTGCTCCTGCTGCTCCAAACTCAATTACGACTGCCTTCTCAGTTGTCCAACTAAGGACAGTCCACCCATCCATCAATTTATTTAATGAAAGTAAATCAGACTGTCTGTTATTTTGACAAATTAGCGCCATTGTTTTGATTCGTGATTAATGTGAATAATACACATCAAATGTTTTTCTCGTTGTATTTTTTTTACTGTAGTTAAGCTTTTTTAATTTATTATGTCTGAAGCCTATGCATGAATTCACATCAGCAGTTGTGTGCGCTCTGTAGAGCTGTCTGGAGAGGCTCCTGTGCGTAATGTATCGCAAGCCAAGTGTCCCATTAATAACCACTTTTGCCACATGTCTGGCTATTAATGGGCCACTTGGCTTGCCATATAGATGAAGACACTTCATCCCCGTGGGACATGCAGTCCGTTTCTCTGCTGGGTAGGAGCATGTGCGCGAGCTGGTACACCTGCTGCAGCCGTAATATCTACTCCACAGACTGGGGAACGTCTCCTCTCTTTGTATTTTTAATAAATAATCAAAATAAAAATGTGCAAAGACTTTGGACTTTTAGGGGTGGAGATTTGAGTTGCCAAATCCGAGCAAACAGTTGCCAGAATGTACCCGGTCAAAATGAGACAGTTCCCGGATCTTGTTCCGGCAGGATCCGGCTCAAATTAAGCACTTAGCGGTTCAACTCAGTCTCTCCCAGATAACTGAACTTCTCGCCCTATCTTTAAAGGAGAGTACAGCTACCCTGCAAAGGAAACTCATTTCAACCGCCTGTATTGGCTATCTTGTTATTTTGGTCACTATCCAGAGCTCGTGATCATAGGTGAGGGTTGGAATGTAGACCGACCGGTAAATAGAGTGCTTTGCCTTATAGCTCAGCTCCCTCTTCACAACAACAAACCAATACAGAGTCTGCAATACTGCAGATGCTGCACCAATCCGTCTGTCAATCTCACGCTCCATTCTTCCCTCACTCGTGAACAAGACCCCAAGATACTTTAACTCCTCCACTTGAGGCAGAATCTCACCCTCGACCTGAAGATAGCAGTCCGCCCTTTTCCGGTTGAGGACCATGGCCTGAGATTTGGAGGTACTGATTCTCATCCCAGCCACTTCACACTTGGCTGCAAACCGCTCCAGTGAGAGCTGAAGATCATGATACGATGACACCAACAGGACCACATCATCTGCTAAGAGCAGAGATGGAATCCTGAGCCCACCGAACCGGAATCCCTCTGCCCCCTGGCTGCACCAAGATATTCTGTCCATAAAAGTCATGAACAGACAATGGGCAGCCCTGGCGGAGTCCAACTCCCACCCTGAAGGGGTCCGACTTACTACTGGCAATGTGAACCAAGCTCTCACACCACTTGTACAGGGGCCGAACAGCCCCATAACAATGGGCCCCCAATCTCATACTCACGGAGCACCCCCCACAGTGTACCCCAAGGAACACAGTCAAATTCCTTCTTCAAGTCTACAAAACGCATGTAGACTGGGTGGGCAAACTCCCATGACCCCTTAAGGACCCTTGTGAGGGTAAAGAGCTGGTACAGTAGTCCATGACCAGGACGGAACCCGCATTGTTCCTCCTGTATCTGAGGTTTGACCAACGATCAGACTTGCTTCTCCAGTACTCCTAAATACACTGTACCAGGGACGCTAAGGAGAGCGATGCCCCTGTAACTGGAGCACACCCTCCGGTCCCCATTTTTGAAGAGGGGAACCACCACCCCAGTCTGCCAATCCAGTAGCACTGCCCCCAGTGTTCAAGCATCGTTGCAAAGGCATGTCAACCAAGACAGCCCCACAGCATCCAGAACTTTTAAGAAATCAGGGTGAATCTCATTCACCCCCGGAGACCTGCCGTGGCATAGCTTTGTAACTACCTCGGCAATCTCAGCCACTGTTATGGACAAACCAACCCCGAAGTCCCCTGACTTTTCTTCTTCCTTGGAAGAAGTGCCAGTGGTATTGAGAAGGTCTGAGAAGTATTCTTTCCACCTCCCGATGACATCACTGGTTGAGATCAACAGCACCCCACCTTCACTGAACACATTGTTAGTAAAGAGCTGTTTTCCCCTCTTCAGTCACCTGATGGTTTGCCAGAATTTCCTCTGAGCCAACCGAGAGTCTTTATCCAAGGCCTCACCGAACTCCTCCCACATCTGAGCTTTTGCCTTAGCAACAGCCAAGGCTTGGGACCACTTGGACCTCCGGTATTCCTCAGCTGCCTCCGGAGTCCCACCAGCCAACAAAGACCAATGGAAAGCTGGATTTAAGGTGAAACGTTTCAGCACACAAAAAAAAAAGAAACTGTCCAGATGACCTGACTGAAAATTGTTGGACTGATAGGACTCCTTCTTCAGCTTGACAGGCTCCCTAACCCAGGGTGTCCACCATCGAGTTCAAGAATGGGCACCGTGAGAAGCATCAATAACCTTGCGGTCACAGCTCAAGGCACCCACTTCAACAACTGAGTTGTGGCCCACTTGGATTCCATGTCCCCCGCCTCAGCTGGGATGCAGTTAAAGCTCTCCTGGAGGTGAGAGTTGAAGATCTTTCTGACAGATTCTTCTGCCAGGCGTACCCAGCAAACCCTCACTACACGTTTGAGTCTGTCGGGTCTGTCCACCTGATCCAACTCACTACCAGGTGGTGATCAGTTGACAGCTCAGCTCCTCTCTTCACCCAAGTGTCCAAAACAAATGGCCGTAAATCAGATGACAAGACTACAAAGGCAATCATTGATCTACAACCTAGGGCATCCTGATGCCAAGTGCACTTATGGACACCCTTATCTTATGTTTGAACATGGTGTTTGTGATGGTCAAACTATGACTAACACAGATTTCCAACAACTGAACACCGCTCGAGTTCAGATCAAAGAGGCTGTTCCTCCCAAGCATGCCCCTCCAGGTCACACTGTCATTACCCACATGGGTATTGAAGTCCCCCAGCAGAATAAAGGAGTCTCCAGCTGGTGCACCTTCCAGCATCCCCATCAAGGACTCCAAGAAGGCCGGATACTCTGAACTGCCATTAGGCACATAGGCACAAACAAAAGTCAGAGCCCATCACCCCACCTAAAGGTGCAGGGAAGCTACCCTCTCATCTACTGGGGAAAACTCCAACGCACAGGCACCAAATCATGGGGCTAAGAGTAGACCCACACCAGCTCAGCTCCTCTTACCATGGGCAACTCCAGAGTGGAATAAGGTCCAGCCCCTCTCAAGGAGATCCGTTCTAGAGCCCATGTTGTGCATCGAGGTGAGCCCAGTTATATCTAGTTGGTACCACTCAACCTCATGCACAAGCTCAGGCTCCTTCCCTGCCAGAGAGGTCACATTCCATATCCCAAGAGCCAGCTTTGGTAAGCCAGGGTCAGAGGGCCAAGGCCCCCACCTTCAACCACTGCCCATGGCATCATGCGCCTGACTTTTGTGGCCCCTCCTGCAGGTGGTGGACCTACAGGAAGGCAAATCCATGTTGCTATTTCGGACTGAGCCTGACCGGTCCCCATGGGTAGAGACCCAGTCACCAGGCGCTCGCCGACGAGTCCCTCCCCCAGGCCTGGCTCCAGGGTGGGGCCCCGGTAAAACATGTCCAGGCAAGGGACACAGAGTTCCTTGATATATATTGTTCATCAAAAGTTTTTGGAATCACTCTTTGTCTGGCCTGTCACCTCATACTCAGTCTAATTTACTAAAATAGTATTATTATTATTATTATTATTATTATATTAATATTATTAATAATAATAATAATAATAATAATAATAATAATAATAATAATAATA